AAAAATTGATAGGGTATCCAGATTGAACTTGTTTATTGCCATATACCTTAACAGGGTATGACTTTTGTGCTAAAGCTTTTAGCCTACTTAATATATATGACCTTCACGAAATTTTTTATATAAAAAAAGCTTATCAGAAGATCTGAGCAACTATGAGGGACCCTTTGATTTCTTTCTTAATTAGGTTTTTGATTGATTTTCTCTCTTACAGCTTCTCATTTCTCACTAATGTACAGATATGTTGCAGTTGGTAATGAACCTTTCCTGCAAACATACAATGGAACCTTCCTTGGTACAACTTTCCCTGCTTTGCGGAATATCCAATCTGCTTTAATAAAAGCAGGTCTCAGCAACCAGGTAAAGGTCACTTGTCCACTAAATGCCGATGTCTACTGGAGCTCAACTGGTTTTCCATCTGGTGGAGATTTCAGAGCTGATATCCATGACCTCATGTTTGCAATTGTCAAGTTCTTGAGTGAAAATGGTGCTCCTTTCACTGTAAACATCTATCCGTTCATTAGCCTTTATACCGATGCCAACTTCCCTGTAGAGTATGCCTTCTTTGATGGTAATTCACAACCTCTAAATGATGGTGGCACTTTATATTACAATATGTTTGATGCGAACCATGATACGCTTGTGTATGCCCTGCAAAAGAATGGGTTTGGAGACTTGCCTATTATCGTTGGAGAAATTGGTTGGCCCACTGATGGAGACCGAAATGCTAATATGGAGTATGCTAGAAGGTTCAACCAAGGTTTCATGTCCCATATTTCAGGGGGAAAAGGAACCCCAAAGAGACCTGGGCCAATTGATGCGTATTTATTTAGTTTGATTGACGAGGATGCCAAAAGCATTCAACCGGGTAATTTTGAACGCCATTGGGGAATATTTACTTTTGATGGGATACCCAAATACCCTCTCAACCTTGGCACTACCAATTCAGGAGCTTTGGTTCCAGCTAGAAATGTGAAGTACTTGGAGAAGAAGTGGTGTGTGATGAAGAATTCTGCTAGACTAGATGATCCTCAGATTGCTCCAAGTGTAAACTATGCCTGTGGACTTGCTGACTGCACTAGTCTTGGTTACGGCACAGCATGTGGGAATCTGGATGCTCAGGGAAACATATCATATGCCTTTAACAGTTACTATCAGATAAATAATCAGCTTGATAGTGCCTGCAAATTTCCGAACGTCTCAATGATCACCAAAACAGATCCATCTGTTGGCACTTGCAGATTTGAGATAATGATCGAGCCATATTATTATGGGTCTGCAGCAGAAACAGGAGTTGCGTTGAGGCTGCTGCATTTAGTTGCAGGCCTTGTTCTCTTTTTGCTAGCTGTTCAGTGAGCTCCAGTCTTCCAATTCGTAGTATATCATTTTTTTCATGACAGTGCTCATGTGCTTTGCAGGAGGGCATAGAGAGAAGTGATAGCTAAGAGGGATTCGTAAATGGTGCAAATGTAGTTCAAATTTTGTGTTGTAGGAAGCAAGAGTTGGAAAACTAACTATCATGCTTTGTTTCAAATTGAATTGTTTTAATAGATTGCTGATATGTATCATCAATTAGTGTTAGTTATTTGCCATGGCAGGAGGTTGGGAGAAAGTGAAAAGGTCCTTCAAATAACTCAACATAATTATAACTAGATCTTCATTCTCCTAATATTCTGCACAGGGTTAGTCCTCAATCCAGAGGTTGCATTTAATGTTCTCTTTGGATGATTTTTGTGGTGAGTAAATAATATAAAATAATATATGATAGATGCGTAACATGGTAATTATAAAGTTATGACATGTTTGTGAAGACAGTACATTAATGTATGATAATGACAGATGTTTTATTTAGATTGATAAATTAATATGATTATATATTAAGTTAAATTATTAATTTATTTATTTATTATTATATATAATATTAAGAGAAAAAAAAGAAAAAAAAATATCTATTTAATTTGTGATTAAATTATTTAATTTAAAAAATTATTTAAATTGTAATTCTTAATGAATTTTTAAAAAAATATCAAAAAAAAATGAATTTTTTATAAAGAATAAAAATTTATTTTTTTACAGTTAATATAAAAAATTAATTTAATTTAAAAAATTATCTATTACATAATCTTTATTATTATAATTTTTATGTTATAAATAAAGTAAATAAATAAATTTTATTTAGAATAATTTTTAGTTTTAATAATTTTTAAATAATTAAATATTATAAATATATTTAATCAAGTTATTTATTTCAATCATCATCTTAATAATACATACATAATTAATATAAGTTATTTAACTTTTCATCCATTTGTTTGGAGTTGGACTTTGTTTGGTGTTTAGGTTTTTACCCATTCATTTATAAGATATTTATTTTAACTGATTAATATTTATAAATTAATTATATTAAAATATAAAATAAATTTAAATTTATATATTAAATTTTATATTTATTATAATTTAATTTATAATATTTTTTATTATAAATTAATTTTTAATATTTTTTATTTTTTATTTTCACTCCATTTTTAATAAATAATAATTAAATTATATTTAAGTATTTGTAAAAATAACTTAAATATTATTATTAATTAATTTTAATCTATTCAACTAATAAAATAATGGAAACATATGGAGAAGAAGAGAAGAAAAGAAGAAAAAAAAAACAGTTGTTGAGAAGGAAAATGAAGTCTAAAATAAGTATTTTTTTAAAGATAAAATTGGAATTCATAAAATTTAATGAGAGTATAACTAGAACAAGAACATAAACCTGTTAAAAACTACCAAATCGATGATTTTAAAAATTTGCCCAAATTTTGTTTTTTGGATAGCATTAAACACCCTAAAGTAATTATACCATGAGTAAATAAATATGATTTTGTCATCCCACCACCATACCCTACATTAATGAACTATAAAATAATTACATCCAAACAGAGGATAAGGGTGTTGACATCTCTAAGACCCGTCCCAACAATACTTGTTGTGTAAAATTACTCCCTAAAGCATGCACAATCATATTAAAGTAAAAATAAAAAGAAAAGAACACAAGAATTTTACGTGATTCGGTAATGTGGGTACATCCACGGGTAAGATCGGCAAGAAAGAATTTCACTATATAATCTGAAAGTACATCACCAATAGATTAGTAAACATATTTATAGAGAGACTACCAAAGTTTTTTACAAATAAAAACTTTATAAGATATACAGTAAATATTTTCTAAGATAAATACAGAGAAAATCTAAATAAATTATCCCTAAAATATAGATAAATATCACCAAAATTCAAGACACATCAACAAATCTTTCTCTTGACTTGAATGTTCTTTATCATCAAAGCAGCTAACCATTTTGTCGCGTCGTTTGCCAACATGCCCCCCTACTATGGAGTTATTGAGTATCACATACTTCAGCCAAGTTTAAGTCGCACCTAAACTTTTTATCTGATCCTTGAACAAAGTGACATCTACTATCAAGTTCTTCACACACAATCCCAATTATCTAATCAGCATATGAACTCTCTGGTTCATGTAAATCAACTGACTCTGCAACTGATAAGTTATATGCAGTCAGATTCTCATACCTCCGCAGTCGTCTAATCTGTTTTCTCTCCCTGTCTGTGGCAATATTATATAATTGTTGTTGATCAGGTGCACTATCACCCTTTTGATTAAAATCATGCACTTCGTTCCTTGAACCATTGTACTGAACTTCTAACTCTACTTGTACTCTAACTCCGTGATTTGATTCTGCTATTGTTTTTTCCTTCTGACTGTCTAATGAGACAGACTCATTAAATGTCACATCTTTACTGATAATTAACCCTGAATATTTAGGATCATTACACCACAACCTGTGACCTTTTACTCCATATGCATACCCTAGAAATATGCACTTATTTGCCCTCGGCTCAAACTTACCATCCCCAACATAAATATAAACAGGACAACCAAACACTCTCAACTTAGAGTAATCAGCATGTGACCTAGACCATCCCTCAAAAGTAGTTTTACTCTCAATAGCTGTGGATAGAGATCTATTAACTAAAAAACTAGCAGTATTCATAGCTTCAATCAAAAATTCATGTCCCACACCTAAATGAGACAACAGTTTCGTGCCCTATCACAAAACGTCTTATTCACATGTTTTGCAATATCATTCTGTTATGGTGTCCTAACACAAGTGCGGTTTCTCATCATACCTTCCGTACTACAGAAATCATCAAATTCATGATTGTAAATTTCAACTCATTATTAGTCCTAAGACACTTAATTTTTCTCTCTGTCTGCATCTCAATCATGGTCTTCCATCTGAAAAATGTTGAAAATACCCCTTCCTTGGATTTTAAAAAATACACTCATACCTTCCTAAAGTAATTATCAATCAATGTCATAAAGTACCTAGCACCACTTTAAAGGAAACTCTGTATAGATATTATAGATCAGAGTGAACAGAATCTAACTTACTTCTGGTCTTGTACATTGTCTTTTTATTAAATTTCACTTTGGTTTGCTTGTCAAACACACAGTGTTCACAGAAACTCAAAGTTCCTTCTTTATACCCATTCAATAAACTATGACTGCTCAAAACAGATAACCCTTTATCACTCATAACCCAAACGCAGATGTCACAACTAATTCTTATTACTGCACTTTGATGCTGCATTAGCTTCCTCTGAAACTACTTTTCCTTAAAGAGCATACAATATAGATTCTAAACTGTTTTTCATGAGTACTTTGGAGCCTTTACACACTTTAAGAATATCATTCTCTACATGATATTTATAACCCAGAGTTGCTAGTGTAGAAAGAAAAATCATATTCTTCTTCATCTAAGAATATGCCAACACTCAATAGTCCTAATGATACCATCAAACATTCTTAATCTGATATTACCAATCCTACCTACAGATAACGAACTGTCATCTCTCATGTACACGGCACCACTCATTTGCTCGTAAGTAGCAAACTAATGCCTATGTGGACACATGTGGAATGTAGCACTAGAATCAAGAATTCAGAAGTTATTTCTATGATCTGAATTCATAGATAGAACTACCTCAACACTGTTGCTATCACAATCATCAAAATTATCTATGTCGACTATATTAGCAGAACTCTCCTGCTCTTTTCCTTCCTTCATCATAGGACAATCTCTCCTAAAGCAACCTTTCTCCCCACACTCAAAATAATTTCCCTTATTACCTTTAAATTTTGATTTACCCATTCTCTGTATCCTTCCCCTACTTACCAAACCTTCCCCTTTTATTTTATATTCAGTAAAGTTCTTTCGTAAATTTTTCGATTTTAGTGCGTTACTAACATTCTCTAGTGAAATACTAAATTTTTCATACAATAGAGTATCAACAAAAGTCTCACAAGAAAATAATAGTGAACACAGAACAATCAATGTTTGATCATCATTTTCAATCTTAATATCTATGTTATTCAAGTCCATAATTAAAGAACTAAACTCATCAATGTGCTATTCATTCTGAAATTATACAGTCTTTTCTTCATATAAAGACGGTTCGTCAGCAATTTTACATAGTACAACTCTTCTAGTTTCTTCCATGTAGCTGAAGTTGAAATCTCTTCAACAATATCTTGTAGAATATTGTCATTGACAATCATAAAAATTACACATAAGGCTCTATCCTACATACTTGTATTTTTTGATTCTCTTATACCATTAGGATATCTTTCTTCAACTATCCCCACAAACCTTGTAGTATCAAGGACGATCTCATTCTAATCTTTCACATATTGAAACTTGTACAACCATTAAACTTCTCTATCTTATACTTTGTGGATGTCATCTCGAATCCCTAGACTGTGAACCAAAAATCAAACAGATAGAAAAAAAATACTATCAGAAAACAAAAAACACTCACGGGGAGTCACCATTGCATAGAAAATCACCAAACGCAACCACCAGAACAACGCACGCGCCACCACACACTCTTCTACGCACTGTCACAGCTTCAGCCACTGGAGCTGTCACGCGTGCCTACTAGCCGCCTCTTGTTGCTGTAAAAAAAAACTAAAAAATGCACAAGAACATGCAACTCGACGAATCCGACACAGATCTAGTAAAAACATGCTAAAAAATTGTCGAAAACGCCACAAATCGAGCATCGCGCTAACTAGGTGTCGCTGTAACAGCCCCAGAAATTTAAAATGAAATTTTATATTCAAAAATATCAAATGCGGAAGCGAGATCAAAATTTCAGTTAACAATACACGAAAACCAAAAACGTACTTAAAATATAAAAGATTAAACTAACTAAAAGAGAAACTCGAAAATAAAACTATGAGTATGACTACAGAATCTCTAGGCATCCCCTTCGTCGTCCTCCTGCGGAACGGGCTCGGGAACCATGTCTTCATGATCTGAAATGGTTAAATAAGGAGTGAGCTACACTAGCCCAGCAAGAACATCACGATATCTCACCGTCACGGAGGTAAAGGTGGGTAGAAAAACACAAAAGACCAATGGAGCATGATTTACAACAAATCCTTTTATTTATGATAAAACATTTACCATCCACTTACCTCGGTGGAATTCATGAAACAATATAAGAAAACAATAACATTATCACAATCATGGAATAATATAAGCTGTAAAACATAGCACTTATCACGCCTTTTGTAATTCAATCATTATACAACATATCTTTTTCTCATTTACCAGCCTACTAGTATCCATGGGGGTCCCTAGGGGTCCCGCTACCCGTTAACCTTTAACATTCATAATCAGTTTCCAGGGCCGTCCCCATACCCCGTCCGGTATGGGCGCCAAAACCATAAACCTCAATACCCCGTCCAGTATGAGGGTGAAACGGGCCGTCCCCATACCCCGTCCGGTATGGGCGCCAAAATCATAAGATCTCCATACCCCGTCCGGCATGTGAGACCACAATCCCGGTAGGGTTCCCTACGGACCCGGTCCGTCCACCATCTCTCAGGATATCTAGTCAGGCTGACCCCATCATACAATTATCAGTCTACACAATCTTTCATTTTCCTTTTCCTCAATAAGCATCATCAATTCACATTTAAACAAACAAATCGTAATTCATGCCAAACAGACAACATACAGTATCAGTTCTTCAGTCATTCAACCCATAATTAATAAAATAGTAATATATGCACTCGAAACTATAAAATGAACACATCAAACCTCATAATGCATTTAAAGCTGTAAAACAGGCCAAATAACAGTAAATCATCAATCACACTAGACTCGGGCTCCATTAGCAACCTTAAGCAATTTCACACATGCGTTAATTCAAGAAATACCGTTTTATCATTTTGAACTTTAATACCGTGATAGGAAATAGGGTGAGGGGTCCTTACTTGTTTTCAGGATCCGAATACGATTCACAGTGCGCCTACAGGCCGTCCCTAATTTTCCCTAAATTTTTCCCGGGGAATTGAAACACACTAACGGTACCTGCACGTATTCCAAAAAAATCTCAAATTAGGCTCAGGGCCCCTTTTTGGCCAATATCGCAACTCCGGCACGGCGGCGATTCGCCTCGGATTCGCTGTTTCGGCCGTTTCTGGCCGAATTCGGCCACACCCACATCGGTCCCTGCGAGAAAACAACCCTAGGGCCTTCGGGGGGCCAAAAAATCACGGAGAAGCGAAGCTTACCGGCGGCGGCTCTCCGGCGAGGTTCGTGGTTTGGTGATTCGGCTCCGGTCAACCTGTAGAGAAAAGAATGGTGATCACGGTGATATAAAAATTGCATCAAACGGAGGCCGGGAAGGGCCTCGTCGGAGGCAAAAACCGAGAGGGGGCGCGGCGGCGCCGCTGGTCTTCGGCCGCGTATTCCGGCCGTCTGGCCGGGATTTTGGCTTCGATTTGGCCACAGGAGGAATCAGCGTGGAAAAACGAGTCGGGGGTATGAAATTTACCTCGATCGGCGGTCGGAAATTTCCCCGTTGCGGCGGCGGGTGGCGGCGGTCGGCCTCTGGTTCGTCTTCTCCGGCGAGCGGCAGGCGGCAGGCGGCTAGGGTTTGTGGTCTGGTGTGGGGGTTCTATTTATAACCCCTTGTCTTTTGATCTCTGCCGTCCATTTTGTTTTAATTTGGGCCGTTCGTTTTTGATTGAATCTGGGCCGTCCGATCGCGCCCACGCGGATCGCCAACGTGGTCCGTTCCGGAGCGACGTAGTCTTGCCACGTGGCAGGCCCCGGTTGGCCGGGATGCTGACCGGGCCTGCCGACGTGGCTTTTTTTTTTTTCCTTCTCGGTCCGGGCGCTACAGTCGCGGCACTGGTTTGTCTTCTCCAGCGCGTGTTTTCCCTCTCTAGTTTGGTTTCGTGCACAAACGGGGTCGGACGTTGTGGATCCACTTTGGTTTCTCTTCTCCGGCCCTCCTCTTTGAGCAAATCGATTTTCTTTGTGTAAGTCGCCGCGCGTCTGAGCTTCTCTATTTCAGGTTAGATTTCATTGGTTGTCACTCACGCAAGCCAGCTTTCTCCCTTGGCGATCTAGTCGAACATATCTGAGCACGAACCATTTCGTCCCTTCAAGTCGCGTCGTCCGCCATTCGGCCTCTCCGCGCAATTCACTGTCTTTAGGTCGTAGTGGGCACACAAAAAAAAAGCCAGATTTAATTTTTTTTTCTTCACTGACTGATCTACTTTCTCTCTCTAACCTAGCTGAAACCTGAGTTCTGATATCACTTATTGGGAAAAATTAATTCATAAAGCATGCACAATCACATCAAAATAAAAGTAGAAAGAAAATAACACAAGAATTTTACATAGTTCGGCAGTGTGCCTATATCCAGGAGTAAAACTGATAAGAAATAATTTCACTATGTAATTTAAGAGTACATCACTAATTGGTTAGCAAATCTATTTATAAAAAGACTAATGAAATTTTTTACAAATAAAAACTTTATAAAATATATATCAAATATTTCTTATGATAGATACAAAGTAAATCCAAATTAATTATCTCAAAAATACAAATAAATATCACCAAAATTCAAGACACATCAACAATACTGTTGCACTTTGAATCCAGACCCAAAAGTAATTTGCCAAACCCTATCACATCTTATTATTTTTGGCTTAGCCTCCAAGTGAGTAAGGTCATACCATATGCTTGATCATTTTCATGTTGGCTATCTATATACTTCCGTATATCTCAAAAATAAAGTAATTATTTATATAAGATTATAACTTAAATTACTATAAAAAATGTCTTAATTCAAAATTTTAATATTGATAGAAAGGGGTAAATTCATGTATAATATTAACTGTTATTTTCAAGTTTTGATTATAGTAATAAAGATAAGTAAGCTCTCTTGTATTTTCTAGAGAATCTAAGAATTTTGTGAGTAAAATATTTTGTTCACAATTAAACAAAGCAAGAGGGACATCATTCTGATATTTCACCCACTTGCTTTTATAAGAAACCAAAAGATACACTACACTGCTTCTGTATATTAGAATTATATATATATATATATATATATATATATGTACACATGTACACATATTATGTATAGGTTAATATCAAAAGCAGCTGAAAACTGCTTATATAAACTTACATAAAAGTGCTTGTTCTTTTTAGTGTTTGCTAAATTAGTGTTTCTTTATAACATAGCCAATAACCAAAAAAGAATCTTATTATGATGACTCAGATTCCACTATAACTGTTTTAATAATTCCATGTATCTAAATCATTGATTCTAAAAACTTAATCCTTAAACTATTGCTAATACGTGAGAATTTTTATAATTAATTCTCTCATATTTTCAGTTCTATATCAATAATATTATTAATAAATGAATTAAGAAAATAATTAATTTAAATTAGATGTAGAATTGATTTGGAATTAAAATATAATTTACCATATTTAATATTTAATTTTTTTTCCCGACAGATAAAAGAGAGAAATTTGATTTACCATTAACTCACCAACCTAGCTTCTTGGTACAGGGCGGAAGATTAGATCGAACCTTTTTGTGTTGAAACTTTTGTTCCTCACTCAAAACAACCAATGCATGACATCTACAACCAACTCAAACACTTGGTAAATTACTTTCCCCCTTCACCAATCTTCTCCACTCTTCCTTCACTAGTCAAAGCATGCTCTTGTCTACATGCCATCCACTTGGGCCTCCAGCTTCATTGCTTTGCCATCAAGTCTGGTTACGATTCAAATACTGTCATATCCAATTCTCTCATATCTATGTATTGTAAATTCAATCATCCCGATCTGGCGCACAAACTGTTTGTCACAATGCCCGAAAGAGATACAGTTTCATATTCTTCCTTGATAAATTACTATACTCGAAGTGTGTGTCTCTTCAAAGCATCGCAAATGATTCATGAAATGTACTCGCTTCGTTTTGTACCAAAACCAGAGATGATTGCTGGTGTTTTATCCCTCTGTGCACGTAACCAGGAGAGCAGACTAGGAAGAGCACTTCATGGTCTAGTTGTTCTTGATGAGAGGATCCCCCAATCCGTTTTCTTGTCAACAGCTCTGGTTGACATGTACTTCAAGTGTCATGACTCGTCCACGGCATTACGTGTTTTTTATCACATGGAGGTGAAAAATGAGGTGTCTTGGACAGCCGTAATAGCAGGCTGTACTGCGGATCGTCGGTACTCAATGGCGATTGATTGCTTTCTAGCAATGCGGAGTGAAGGGCTTACGCCTAACCGGGTAACTTTGCTCACTGTGTTGCCAGCCTGTGCGGAATCTAGCTGTTGTAAGCGAGGGAAAGAGATTCATGGGTATGTTTTTCGACGTGGGTTGTTCTCGGATCAGCACTTGTCAGCTGCTCTTATCAGCATGTATTGCAGAGTAGGGAAGACACTGCGTCCTGCTAGGCTAGTCTTTGAGAGATCAGAAACCAAAGATGTTGTGGTGTGGAGTTCAATGATTGGAAGCTATGCTGCACGAGGGCATTGCAATGAAGCAATGACGCTTTTCAATCAAATGCGAGTTAAAGGAATTCAACCCAACTCTGTAACATTGTTAGCACTGATATCTCTCTGCACTACCCTATCTTCAACCAATCATGGATGTGGAGTCCACAACTATATTCTGAAATCTGGCTTAAATTTTAACACTTTCATAGGAAATGCACTAATAGATATGTATTCCAAATGCGGTTGTCTGGTGGCTTCCAATAAAATCTTCGAAGAAATGTCTGTTCAAGATCCTGTGTCATGGAGCTCATTGATTAGTGCTTATGGCCTGCATGGTTATGGGAAAAGAGCTTTGGGAATCTTTTATTCGATGCAAGACAGAAAAATAGAAGTGGATGCTATAACATTGCTGGCAGTTCTATCAGCTTGCAACTACTCTAGTCTACTAGAGGAGGGACAAATGATATTTAATCATGCTTTAAAAGACCAGAGGATGCAAGTTAATGTAGATCATTATGCATGCTATATAGATCTTCTTGGTAAGTCTGGGAAGATAGAAGAAGCATGTGATGTTCTGAGGAAATTGCCCATGAAGACAACCGGAAAAATTTGGAGCTCTCTGGTATGGGCTTGTAAAGCTCATGGAAGGTTGGACCTAGCAAAGACACTAGCAAATGAACTTATCAAATCAGAACCAGATAATGCTGCCAACTATACCTTACTGAGCATGATCCATGCTGATTCTGATAATTGGCTCGCCGTAGAAGAGGTGAGGAATGTCATGAGAATTCAAGGATTAAATAAATGTTACAGCTTCAGCAGAATTGAACTGCCAAGTGAGAGTTTGTAGCAGAAGAAAATTGCAACGCAAACAACAAAGATTTTGTCAAAGGATGCTGTTTGAAGTGCAAGTCTCCCAACTATTGCCTTCAAAAACTCTCCGCAACAAATAGAAGTTGCATTGCGAAGATCCAGGGTGATCCTTGCTCAATTAAAAGAGGAGTTCATGCCATTGCAGTAGAATCCGCAGCCTTCCTTTTGTAGTTTCATTACAGATTTACATATAATGATTTTGATTATTAGGGTTCTTTAATAAATTAGTTTATGCTACGTAGTTGCCAATCGAAATAAATATTCCATGTTCTTTGGTAAATTAGTTTGCAAAATTTATATAAACCACACCACATATACGCTGCAGTAAAACAAAATTGGCCATGGAATCGTGGTTGAAATTAACTATTGTAACTACTAAAGCAATTTAAGTACTTCTGTATATCATCTCTGCATAGATCAAGAACTTCCACCATTTTCTTTATAGTCAATAACATCAATTATTTGACAACTACCAGACAGCGTGAGAGAATCTACAGTAGAACCAGATACCATATTAACATGTAATCAAGAAGCACTGATACAAAAAGGACGAACAAATTAAAAACGTGGAGGCTGATGAGAAAAAAACAAGTATTACCTTCCAGGGAGACTAGGCATAGCAAACATGCAATAAGGAAATATAGGGAGATTTGTTATTTACAAAGCAAAAACTGCAGAATCTCCTAAAGTAAGTCACTTATCCATTCTATGTCCAGCATGAGGAAATCATCTAGCTGTAAATTTTCCACTGAATTGGCAGCTTCTTCGATGGCAGTTGATGGAAAATAAGGTTCCCCAGCCACCTCAGATTTAGTCACACAGGAACCTGAAACTGGAAAATCAAAGGAAGCTGGTGTATTAACAGATACCTGAGTTGTTGCAGGTGCAGCAACTGGTGAGGAGGCTGATGCACCTGCTGCAAAGTTTGTTGCAATAGTTTGTATATCCTCCTTTGACAAAGAATCCAAAGAACCCTCAGGAAGCTGTGGCTTTTTATTTGCTGGAAAATTAAATGGACCACCATCACCACGAATGCAATATTGGGCAGCATCATAGGCTCGAGCTGCCTTTTCTGGGGCATCATAGGAGCCCAGCCATATCCTTCTTCCCGTTTTTGGAATCCTTATTTCAGACACCCATTTGCCCCAAGCCCTCATTCTAACACCTCTATAGGGCTTTGGTTTTCTATCTCTACGGACCCTTTTTTGAGGAAGGCTTGAATTAGGAGATTTTGGAGGAGATGATGGCCTCGAATCCATGACCGGAGGCAGAATGACTGCGGAATTCCAGAGAGACTAAAAGCATAGCTAGGAATGATGAAAACTAAAAGCACTCATAGAGTGAATTTCATGCTAAGGATAGCAGGTGGAACTCCTATGACAGTGGCACGCTATGTTACAAGCTGCACGTGGCAGTGAAGAAACTGTCATGTTGTCAACGTACCAAAGCCACGGAGTTTCCATATGCAAAGAACAATTGGCAAGAAACGAATCAATTTACCGTCACGTGTACATTTCTTTCTAAGAAAAATAACAATGACTTCCCATATTAAGACAGAAAAAGGGAACTAAGGATTTCTTTCGGATAAAATAATGACGACTTCCCATATTAAGACATAAACAGAGAACTAATGCTTTAAGATTCTAATAAAGAAACAACAACGGGAGACGGTAACCATAGAGATCAGTGCATACAACAATGGTTGAAAGGAAATTATAGAAGGTGAAGAACAAAATTTGTATTTCTCAATTAAAGAGTCATGTATCCACGAGTAAAGGAAATTCATAAACACAAGAAGAAATATTAATTTTGAACCATCTGTCCGTGAGAAGAGACGTTACTCAAAACCTTCTGAGTATTTCAACTATCTCAAATTGAGTTCCACCTGTCAGAAAGAGCGAAAGAAATATTAGGGTCACAGTGCTGAAGTGGAACACTATAGATGTCTTGATCTCATGTTTCCATGCCTTTTTTTTTCTTCCAATTCTACCCACTACCACCAAAAGATGAGAGAAAAATAAAAACCAATCAAAAAAATCTTTGCTCACAGTTGCACTTATAATGCCGTGAGTGCAGGTTAACAAAATTAAAAGGAAAATTACTTTCCACATTAGGAAACAGAAGAATTGCAAAATAACCAAAAGAAAAAATTGTAAGGAGAAATAAGCTATAAGAAGCTTTTAATAACATTACGTCACCATTCAATTCAAATATTATTTTCCATTTTGCAAAAAGTTACTAAAATTCAGTGTGATATTTCAGTATGCACTTCATACCTCAAACTCTCACTATTATGAATTGTTGAACCATTTTATTTTACCAACAAAAAACAGATCTCTAAAAGTTGACATTTATTGTAACAAGTAACAACGTTTGTTCTTAGTAACGGAAACAACAAAAGTTTAAGTGCAACTAACAGTTTGGTCAGTTATTAAACATATCTTCCAAATTTAAGAGACCCATGCTATTCGAGGATTTCCTTGAACCATACACCATCCATCCTAGAGAATCACATCTATATCTGAATCTGACACAAGCTTTCCACTTATACGATCCAATTCAGCTACTTTACTGCCAAAGTACGTGGCAACCTCATTGCAAACAGCAGGAAGAATCTTAGGAGGGAAAATCTAATGGCAAGAATAATGACATTAGGTTCAATTGTTATTCCATTTCTAGCAAATTCTCACTCTCAATTTCTGTATTAGCATGAGAGTGAAAATTAAAATACAATTTATTTTTTGATCAACCAGCATCCGTGAGAAATTCAAGAGGGAACTGAGATTGATCAAGTACAAATGACTCATGAGATTCTAATTCCACCCATCACAAGTAATATGAAAATTAGGAACGGAAATAACAAAGAATGGAGCGTGGGAACTGAACCAAACAGGACATCAGTGTGATCAAATATTTTCTTCATAAACCAAATAACCGCAGGGAAGGGTGCTAGCTATAAGGTGAAGTCCACAAGAATTAATTTAACTCCTACAGTATTATTTTACATATATATTTTAGGAAACATTACTGAAATTCTTATTGGATTAATATTTTATTTAAAAACTAGTAATATTTTTTGGTTTATTTTTTAAGTTTACATAATTTGTAGCTGGGTAAAATAAATGAAAGATAAATTGCTGAGAAAATTCAAGAGCTCTAAAATATAAACGACTTATCAGTAATGCCCACAGAATCCTAACAATAATATTTTTCATTTAAGCAATATTTTCCTCCAAAAGCATTTTTGAGAAGTCCTCCAGAAAAATCAAAGAACAGAATGCCAGAAAGAGAAAAAAAAAATCAACATATTTCCAATAATTTCTCGCAAAGAGTGAGAAATAAACCTCTGAGGACATAATAAGACCACAGTATATCCTAATAAAAGATTAATAAAACTTGATACTCTAGTTGTAAACCCCTGAAGCAAGAATCGCTACCTAAACTCAAGCTCAACTATTATAATATGGAATGTTGTCGGGACCTAAGCTCATAGATGGCATGAAACCAACTAAGCGCTATCTTTCTGAAGGAAAACTAATGTATCACTGTCATCCTTCTCTAATAGGAAGAATCAACGAGTTTTAACTATCATAATATGGAATGTTGTCGGTACCTAAGCTCATAGATGGCATGAAACCAACTAAGTGCTATCTTTTTGAAGGAAAACTAATGTATCACCGTAATCCTTCTCTAATAGGAAGAATCAACGAGTTTTAACTATTATAATATGGAATGTTGTACCTAAGCTCATAGATGGCATGAAACCAACTAAGCGCTATCTTTCTGAAGGAAAACTAATGTATCACCGTAATCCTTCTCTAATAGGAAGAATCAACGAGTTTTCAGCTGCACGAAAGCCTTGTGATTCATAAATAACCCTCTTGTATGAAGATAATAAATTATCAAGTATTAGAAGACTGAAATTCAGAAGCATTAAAAAAAGAAGAGAAAAGGAGTAATGCTCATGTAAGAAACCTAAGAGGGTGGAGATGATGACGGTTTGACAGTTGAATCTGTAGTAGGGTCAGCTGATCGAGATGGAGGCGTATAAATGCGAGCTTTCTTGAGAATCTCAGCAACAACCCAATGCTTACGCTTGCTCAATGGTCTTGAAGGATCCAATTTAACCTGAAACATCATTTCGTTTCAAAATTTACAATTATGGACTATGAATTTCTCGAGCTCTCGTCGAATTAAAACACTTATCAAAAGGCGAATTCAAGAGGACTTGGAAGATGAATTCTTTAATGAAAATTATTAGATAGAAGACGAAGAAGAAGAATATATATTACTCGATCGCCGATGTTGCATTGGTTTTTCTCATCGTGGGCCATGAATTTGGAGGTACGCTTGGCGTAGCGATTGTAGACCTTGTTGTGGAAAAGTCTGTCCACCGCTACCACCACTGACTTCTGCATTTTGTTAGACACCACCATCCCCACCACTGATTTCATTTTTCTCCTTCCTTCTGCTGTCGACCTGACGCAGTGATGCTCCTACAAAACCCTAAAACCCCAACCAGCCTCACACTCCCCCTTCTTCGAAGTTTTATTTTTTGGTAAATTATGTTTTATATTTTATCTTGTAAATCCGTCTCAGGAAAAATGTTAAGAGAAATTACTTCTTCTTTTTCTTTGGGTCCAAATAGTGAAATAAAGGAATTATATTTTAAAATAATCACTATAACCCTCAAAAGTAGTCTTATTACACGTGTCACTATACTTTAAGCTAAATTTTTTAAATTAAATTAAAATTTCAAATTTCTTGTTTTTAAAATATTAAAATCTCACATTTAATTATAAAATTATTTTTCGAATTTATTAAAAAAATGAATATTTTTATGAATATATTAGTTCATATTAAATTTTATAATAAATTATTAACTTAGTTTTCAGGATTTATCACTTGTAATAATTTGGTCATTAATATTTTTTAATTATAATTTGATTTTAA